TGCAGCATCACCTTTATACGCAAAATAAAAGTGACTTAAAGCACGGCTTCCTAAGATCCAGGGAGCCAAATTGGCAGCTCGCTGCCACCACCTACAGGCTTCCTGCTGGCTCGCTTTGGCCCCTCTGCGAGCTGTTTCGGCTCACCGCAATAGCAGAAGACAAAACGAGCGAGAAAGCCTGAGGTCTGTGGTGGTGGTGTCACCACGTTCAGCAAGTCAGATCAGCTCACGGTAGGGTGTGACGAGCGGCCAGGAAGGAATGGTGCCTTGGAGAGCAAGGGAGGAGGGACGGATGAGCCGCAGCCTTTGCGTGCACTCACGCCTTTCCTCCTCTCCTCCTACCGGAGTGCCATGGGAGTCGCCTGGGGAACTGCAGCCCCTGCACCAGTCCTGCTTAGGTACCTGTACACTTGTATAGAAACATACCCATGTATATGCATGAATAGATACACACACACACACATATATATGAAGGTGTTATACGTCCATAGATATTTTTTCAGCGCCTGACAAACTCATTCTCAGTCCTTCCAAATGGGAAGCGCCCCAGCAGGGAGATGGGGTTTGCCTCGATCACGCTCCATGGCCACACACAGTGGTGACAGACAAAACAGCTCCGAGAATGAAGCCCAGAGGGAAGGGTGGCCCCCGAGCAGCCACACTGTTACGTGCCAGCCCAGCCCAGCCCTTCAGGGTGGACTCCCCACATGAGCAGGCGTTTCATACACAAGGGTGCTAACCAGGAAAGCTGACGCGGGCTGTTCCATGTCCATCTGCTCTAAATCGTACTTGGCGATACTTCAGAATCTTGATTACTGATGCAGCAGACACATCCCTGCAGGCCACTCTCTGTTCTTCCTGGGAGTCTGCATCACCCCTGCAAAGTTTGTTACCTCATCTCTTGACCTTTCAAGTACCTCTGTTCTCCTGCCATGCCAAATCAAGGGGGATTCCAGTTAACAGCTTAGCCTCCTGGAGAATTACAGTTGACTGTTACCACCAGCTTCACCTTTTGAGCTAAGAAGTCAAAAGTCAGAGACTTGCAGACCACTTATCTTCAGAAAAGCCTGATGACACCATCTGGGCATCTCTTGATGCAATCTCCTTTATTCCCAAAATCTGATTTCACCATCTGAACAGCAGCAGCTGGCCCTCAGCATTTCCAAATCGATACTGTGGTGTCAAGGGCTCCATCCTCCTGCTCCTGCCAAGGAGGCACATGGATTCAGCCCAACCTGCTAAGCTTCTCAGCCTTCAACCCCCAACAGGTTGGCAAGCAGCACTCTGGTGGCTGCTGTCAGGGGACTCCCCCATTGGCAACACCAGGACTACCAGGACGTTTACCACAGGGGTAAGGGGTTAGACAAATACAGGAAAGATAAACTTAAAACTCTCTGTGCAGTGGCGAACCTTTCTGTTCTCCTCATGTGCTCCCGGTTTCACTTTTGTGTTGGTGTGGTGGGTTGACCTTGGCTGGATGCCAGTGCCACCAAGCTGCTCTATCGCTCTCCTCCTCAGCTGGACAGCAGGGGAGAAAATAAGATGAAAAAGAACTCATGGGTCAAGATGAAGGCAGTTTAATAAAGGAAAAGCAAAGGCCATGCAGAAGTAGAAGAAAGCAAAAATATTTCTGCTCCACTTCTCATCAGCAGGCGATGTCCAGCCACTGCCTGGGAAGCAGGGCCTCAGTACACATACTGGCTGGTCCAGAAGACGAACACCTTAGGAGTAAATGCCCTCTCCCCTCCTCCTTTCCCTTAGCTTTTATTGCTGAGCATGACATCATACAGTATGGAGTAACCCTTTGGTCAGCTTGGGACAGCTGTCCTGGCTCTCTCCCCTCCCAAGATCTTTCCTACTCCCAGCCTACCAGCTTCTGGGGGGGGAAGGGGTTGGAGGACAGCTCAGCAGCAGCCCAAACCCCAGTGTGTTACCAGCACCCTTCTAGCTACCAATACAAGGCACAGCATGGCGAGGGCTGCTGCGGGGAAAGCTTGCTCCATCCCAGCCAGGTCCAAGACGGCTGGTGATCCTCATGGAGGGTCCCAGCCAGCGTATCCCAGGCAGCAACAGATTTAACATACAAACTGTCTCCTGAATTAGTACAGCATTTTTAACGTGTGCAGACTATGACTATGGGTCTGGATCTGGGAGAAGGACTTCATGGATCTGGTTTGTCAGGAATTAAAACTACCTTAAATTTTCCTTTCCTTCTTCTACCACTAAGTGTACAGGCATGTAGAGGCAGAGTTAGCCAAGTAAGTCCCTATTTTTAGGGAATTCCAGTGAAAATCACCCAAGCAAATAATCTTTAAAGAGAGAGACTGTACTTACTGTAATGAATAATTTATAATTATTAATAAATCATAAATAGATTGCATAGGAAATTTTACCGGGTTACTAACAGATTGCACATGACATCTGAAATAACATCAGAATGCATCCTCCTCTCAGGCACTGGCAGTGTCAGTTTGGTAGTAATGAACGGGCACACAGGGAATTAGAATCCTTTAATGAAGAGATGGGAATCTAAATACAAGGAAAAGTCTGATATACCTGAAGAGCTTTCATCGTCTGTAGCCCTTTACTGGACCATCATTTCTACTCTCCTATTTTCCTTTCTCCTGCTCAGTCCTCGTGCTATGCTGCTGCTTGCTCAGAAGTACCACCTGATTGCACCTCCTCCTCCTCCTGCTGTTTGGCTTTCTGTAGCCACCAGCAGCCAGAAACGAATTGCTGCTGCCAGCTCCAGGCCAGGTCTTGCTTCCCCTCCTGTACCAGCAGTCCCTGAAACAGGCGGTCAGGTTTCAGTATGTCAGCAAGGAACAGCCAGTCCCATGTACCCCGTTAGTGACAGGCAGCCAATGCAATACTTCACTACTTCACCACTGCAATACTTCACTACTGTGCAACAGTGGCAACGTGGGTGTTGGTCTTCTCCCAACTCTTCTCCCAACTAACTAGTGATAGGATGAGAGGAAATGGCCTCAAGTTGCGCCAGGGGAGGTTTAGATTAGATATTAGGAAAAATTTCTTCACCGAGAGGGTGGTCAAGCATTGGAACAGGCTGCCCAGGGAGGTGGTGGAGTCGCCATCTCTGGAAGTGTTCAAAAAATGTGTGGATGTGGCACTTCAGGACATGGTTTAGGGGACATGGTGGCGCTGGATTAATGGTTGGACTTGATGATCTTGAAGGTCTTTTCCAACCTTAGTGATTCTGTGATTCTGTGAACATCCACATCCAGGAGGCAGCAAACTTTTCTCCATAAATGAGTTGTAAACCTAAGTTCCATAGTCATCCACTTCCAAAGTTGGTCATTTAAAAAGTACTGATAAGTGGATACTGAGACAGGTGAAGTAATCTATGCCCTCACATGACAGCATCTCTGCCTGGAGAACATGAACAGCACCTGCCTTTTCTGGCATGCTGAGACTAGTACTCCCCACCTATCCATAAACCCTGAACAGCTGAGCTCAGCAACACTGCAGGCACCCTGACAACCAGCCTTCAGAGATCAAGAGGTGCCCAGCAACCTCCTCCAGGAAGGGCTGAGGAGAAGGCCCAGCTCAGGGGAGAAGGGATCCTCAGAGTGATGGAGGATGAGTGTCCTCTTCAGTAGACTGGAGATCACCGCCTGCTCCGATCTGTTACCACACAGTGAAGATGCAAGGACTGTCACTAGAAGTTGCCGCCAACATCTTCATAAAACTTGCACAACCCATGTTTGTTTGCTAAGCTGTGTGCCACTATTTCATAACTCTGCTATTTAAATCTTCCTGGAAAAGCCAGCCTTCTCTGGCTGGGAAGGACTTCCAGATGCGTATGAAAGAAAAGGTTCAGGCTTGGAAGGAGAAGAAGTAAAAGCTCTGCATCCTGGAAAGCAGACAGATGCTTTTGCAGCTAGGCAGGGCACCCTGGCTGCCCTAACCACTACCAGATTTGTCAGAGCACACCGTTTCCCAGCTCCTCCTCTCTCATGAGCTTAGGTCAACCACAGATTCACTGGGAGGCTTGCTTGGACTTTTGCATTAAATCCTGGGATAATTTTTCTTTCCCAAGCCGTTTAGCCAGACCAAAAGACTGACAAGCTGTCTCTTGTTTACTTTCTGAAGGCAGTTTCCAGACAGCAAGAATTAATGTGCAAATGGCTGGCTCTGTTTATGCCAGTAACACATTTAAAAAAATACACAGCACGCTTGGCATTACTTCCTCCAGTTACACTGCAACATGAAGTTCTCTCTCTTTGAGAACAAAAGCTATGAAAGCTGCCACATGTCAGGAAACTTTCACTGAGTCACTGAAACTAGGATTGGACAGGGCTTCAAGACACATAGCAACTTTCCTCCTGCCCCAAGACAGGCACAGCTAAAGCCCATGGCTCAGGTTGGCCTCTTGATGACAGCACACCATGCTGGGAACACCTGAAGTGCGTATCAGCACTGTTCCAAAACTGGCTTCATAAAAGATTCAGATAACTGGCTACACTGAAATACTTTTTAAAAGGAAGCAGATACTAAAAGGACAAACTCCAAGAAAACCAGAACAAGAACTAGTAATTACCATGAACTATGGGGATTATCCGAGTAATAGTTCACGAGAAGGAAGTAATTTTTACAAATTGTTTCCACTGTAAGCACAAGACGTGAAACAGCAAAATATTAAAACTGAGCCACAGTTACAGGCAACTCTGCAAACTAGAAGATCAGAAGACATGTCCAGAACTTCGTTTTTTATTTTATGAGCCACTGTATGGACAGCTGAACAGCAATGACCAGTAATATCAACAACAGTGGACAGCTGAGAACCTGATGATGTAAATCTATAAATCTTTACCTCTGCATTAAATGCGGAGTGTTTTCAGGGAAATACAAACCTGCAGCTTGCTTTCAAAATGGTAAAGCTAGTGCCCTCTGTTATGTAAAAATGCTCATGAAGCTTGAAGTACACACACAGTATGTATTTTAATGACACAGATTTCTTCAGTCTTGAGTCTATGAATTCAGTTGACAATGGTGTAATAATTAGAAAAAAGTTCTTCCCCTTGTGTGATGTCTCTGAGAGTGACAAGCACTACACACCTTGGGTGGCTGTAAAAAAAGGAAAAGCAAAACATGTGGAAGAGAACAATTATATTTCCCTTTCAAATCTTCAATTCTTCACGGCAAGGAGCTAAAAACAATGGCTCTGTCTAGATTACTTTTGGGAGAAGCTACACCAAAGTTCATGGAGCAGAAATCTTTCCTATAGACACACCTTATCCCCAGGTACTAGCTGGCTAAACCCACTCTCAGCCAAACAACATCCAGAGAGACAGCTCTGAACTCTATCAGAGACCTGCTGCAACCTACGATGATGGGTGAATTCTCCACAAACCCCATGCTGAAATCAGTGCCTGGCAAACAGTTTTCTTACAGAGAGATTTAGGAACTACCCCCCCCCCTAAACTTCCTTTAAGTAAATGACCATACCCTAAAGCCAACATAAAGCCATCCATACAGGTGCACACTTTTGTGTAACTCATCTGCATATGGAATAATATTATTCTTCAAATATTTGTCTTTTTTACACATACAGTATGCTTTGTATCATAAAAAAATCTATGGGCTCTTTCATTCACTGCTAACCTCTCTATGTCATGGCTGTAGACGATGTTTGGAAGATACTGTTTCAGTTCTACTGGAAAATATCCCGGCACATCAAATTCTTGATAACACACGTTGGCTGCTTTTTCTAGAAAAAATAAAAAGAAGTCTCTATAATACTGAGAAAAATCTTACATGGGGTTTCGAGATGTGTAAAAATATCAAATGTACGGCTGCAAAAGTACCTGATGCTTCATCAAGCCTGAAAACCATGCCTCTCTTGGGAGCTACTACACTCCTCTGAAGTCCTACTTTGAATTTACACAGGAGATACACAACAACTATAGCAGTTTTAATTCATTCTTATTGCATTAAACAGGATGACCTGATTATCAACATGTATATGAAGGAGCACAGCTTGCATAGCACCAGGGATAGCTTAGAGCATTGCTAAATGTTGTTAATATACAACATTTGCTTTTACAGTTTAAAAAAAAATAAACTTTGAAAAAAATACTCCTGGTGGCAACATATGTCATAAATACAGCCAAGGAGAAAATCACCATCTGTCCAGCAGGAAGACGGGAATTTTCTTTATACGGACATTGGACCTGGAAGAAACACTTTCATGGGACAGCCCATTTTCTCTGTGCCTGTCAACACCTGGTTCACTACTCTAGTCACCTTTCTGGATGCTAACTTGGAGGCAGGGTATCTTTAGTGTAACGAAGGCTCTGAAAGCCACTTAGAAACTAGGTATGGTGACAATTCAACTTTCTCTGTCTCACAACCATTCCCATGAGTTATTCACCCAAACCTTAAGACCAACACATACTGAGTGAGGCAGAATAAATAAATAGTTCCCCTCTTCGTGTCCAACAGCTAGATCATACCAACAGTTTCCTAGATTTTGCACACAAATGTAAGTCTAAAAAAGGTATTATAGTGCAAAATGAGGAGTGATAGAATCTTATTGTACATGTCCCTGGAAACATTCACAGTCAGGTTGGATGAGGCTCTGAGCAACCCCATCTAGTTGAAGATGTCCCTGCTTACTGCAAGGGGGTTGGACTAGATGACCTTTAAATGTCCCTTCCAACCCAAAGATTCTACGATTTTATGTCACTGTGCATATGGTTTTCTCATGAAGCCTGCTGGACCACCACACTGCAGAACTTGATCTGCAATTCTGTGTACTGCCTCAGCCCAGCGGTCCTTTGCTAGATATCCTTTCCCGCCATCTCACATTTTGGGATGTATGCCTTTCATTCTACATACCAGGAGAGAGACTGGGGGATCTGGGGGAGTCAGCAAGAAAAGCACAAGGACATTTGAAGCATTGCTGTGCTGAAGGATTCCAACACCCAGCTGTCACAAAAGGCCTCAGAAACTCTTTATCCCATAAGTGCTTATCTTGTTTCAAACAGCACTATTGCCCCCCAAGATCAGTATTTGATTCTCTGTGTCACCTCCAAAACAATTTATATCCATAAAGACAAACTCAAGCCTAGAAAATTTACCTGGCAACTTACCATGTGAGCAGTTGTTGACATACTGTCCCACCGCCAGTGGGTTTTGCAGGGCAGCTGTAAGCCAGCTCTCATCGCTCATCTGAAATGGGCCAAGTTGATCTCTCCTGCTGCAAGACCTGGAATGATTTACAGTGTTCATGTGAATCACTGCTCCTTCACCTAATAGGTTACCTGTACTTCCTCCTGTAGAAATGGCCACAGTCACTGGGTAAAGTTACAGCTGTCCAACCCACCCAGGAGACAAGACAACACTGGGGTGCAGGGGGTATGTGCATGGACCAACGCCTTAATGATACTTTAAAAAGTGTATTTAGACCTCCACTGGCATGTGGCATCTTTCACACTCTGGTGGAAGAACCCACATAAACTGCCACGCACAGTTCCAGAAATTAAATTCAAACGTTACTGCTACAGAACTGTCAACACATGTCGTTCACCTCTAAAGATGTGAAGGCTTATTACAGTATCAACTTCAAACTCATTCCCCGAATTAAAATCTGGTATTAATATTCAAATTAGGTATTATTTTAGATAATTTTGCTTGTTATTAATTTTGTTTTCTTTACATGTCATATTCAAACACAAATTGGTACAAATTGTATTTTAAGGTAAGCTAAAACAGTCCAGGGTAGCTGCATGAGGGGAAGTTCAGGACATTAGGAAAAGGTTCTTCATCCCTGGAACAGGCTCCCCAGGGAACTGGTCCCGGCATGCCGCCTGTCAGAGTTCAAGGAGCGTCTGGATGA